GCTCCTATTTCTCATTCATCTCCGGAATGTAAGCTCCAAGGGGTAAAAGGTAGGATTTTTTGGGGTTTTGTTTTGTTTTTGAGATGGCGTCTCGCTCTGTTGCCCAAGCTGGAGTGCAGTGGCGTGATTTCTCTCGGCTCACTGCAACCTCCGCCTCCTGGGTTCAAGCAATTGTCCTACCTCAGCCTCCCAAAAACCTGGAACTCTAGGCATATGCTACCACACCCGGCTAATTTTCGTAGTTTTAGTAGAGACAAATACCATGTTAGCCAGGCTGGTCTCGAACTCCTGACCTCAGGTGATCCACCTGCCTCGGCCTCCCAAAGTGCTGGAATTACAGGTGTGAGTCACCATGGTCAGCCTTTTTTTTTTTTTTTTTTTTTTGACATGAGGTCTTGCTTTGTTACCCAGACTGGAGTACAGTGGTGTTACCACAGCTCCCTGCAGCCTCGACCTCCCCCAGGCTCAGGTGATTCTCAAATTTCAGCCTCTCAAGTAGCACCACCCAGCGAATTTTTTGTATTTTTAGTAGAGATAGTGTTTCACCACGTTTCCTAGGTTGGTCTTGAACTCCTGGGATCAAGCAATTCACCGCCTTGGACACCCAAAGTGTTGGAATTACAGGTGTGAGCCACAGCACCCAGCCAGGGGTAGGGAATTTTGTCTGCTTTGTTCACTGCAGTATCTCAAGTCCTTAGAATAGGGCCTAGCACATAATGGGTGGTTAAAAACAAAACAAAAAAACAGGTAAATGAATGAACCTGTCCTCAAAGTCCATCCTCCAGGAACGAAGCCATTATCCATGACGGACTAAGTTGGCCCAGAGATAGGGATGACCATTATAACTTGACCACTTCTGGGCCAGGCACAGTGGCGCACGCCTGTAATCCCAGTACTTTGGGAGGCTGAAGCGGTCAGATCACTTGAGGTCAGGAGTTCCAGACCAGCCTGGCCAACATGATGAAACCCTGTCTGTACTAAAAATACAAAAATTAGCCGGGTGTGGTGGTACACACCTGTAATCCCAGCTACTCAGGTGGCTGAGGCAGGAGAATTGCTTGAGCTGGGGAGGTGGTGGTTGCAGTGAGCCAGAGATTGCGCCACTGCATTCCAGCCTGGGTGGCAGAGTGAGACTCTGCCTCAAAAAAAAAAAAAAAAAAATAGGCCGGGTATGGCCAGGTCACGCCTGTAATCCCAGCACTTTGGGAGGCCAAGGCAGGTGGATCACCTGAGATCAGGGACTGACCACCAGCCTGGCCAACATGGTGAAACTCGGTCTCTACCAAAAATAAAAAATTAGCTGGGCGTGGTGTTGGACGCTTGTAATCTCAGCTACCTGGGAGGCTGAAGCAGGAGAATCACCTGAACCTGGAAGGCGGAGGTTGCAGTGAGCCGAGATCATGCCATTACACTCCAGCCTGGGCAACAAGAGCGAAATTCCGTCTCAATAAAAAAAAAAAATTTTAAAAACCATAAATAAGTTGACCACTCTGGAGTCCTCACAATTTGCCCCATACTTTTCTTGGGACCTCACACACACTGCCTCATTTAATGATATTCTCAGTACAGCCACCCCCAGTAGGTATTTATATTATCCCGTTGCCCAGGTTGGAGTGCAGTGGCATGATCTCGGCTCACTGCAACCTCCGTCTCCCAGGTTTAAGCAATTCTCCACCTCAGCCTCCAGAGTAGCTGGGATTCCATGCCCAGCTAGTTTTTGTATTTTTAGTAGAGACAGGGGTTCTCCATGTTGGCCAGGCTGGTCTTGAACTCTTGACCTCAGGTGATCCCCCTGCCTTGGCTTCCCAAAGTGCTGGGATTACAGGCATGTGCCACCACGCCCGGTCATATTATTCTAATTTTACAGAAGAGGAAACCAAGGCTCAGAGAGGGATATACCTTGCTCGAGATCGCACAGCTTGTAAATAGCAGTCAAGATTCGAATCCAGGCCCGGCTGACCCCAGATGCTCAATCTTTCCCTCTGCCATACTGCTAGACCTGGCCCTGAAGAGGCCTATGGCCCGCCAGCTGGTTACATAAACCACCGCACAAGGTCTCACGTGCTAAGTGCTAAATGTGTCATGTCTGACTCCACCCTTTCCCTCGCTCCCACATCCAGCAGTCATCAAGTGTGGCTGAAACCGCGGCCGAGCTTGGGAATGGCTCTGGAAATCTTCCCTTCGATAGCTCAGGTCCTTGTTAACATTCACATGGTCCAAGGCTATAGCCTCCCAGCTATCCCCTGGCCTCCAGGCTTACCTTCCTCCACCCAGCCCTCCTCCCACCGAGGGTCAACGTCCCTAACCACAATTCAGGAATATCACTCCTGGGCTCAAAACCTCCACTGGTCCCCACTGACTCTAGAATAAAATTCAGATTCTTCTACCAGGCAGTCAAGGGCTCTAGTCTAGCTCCAATCTTCCTTTTTAATCTTGCCTTGTGTTATCCTCTTCAAACACACAGTAATCAGTGTGAGCCGGGCGTGGTGGCACGTACCCATAGTCCCAGCTACTCAGCAGGCTGAGGCTAGAGGATTGCTTGAGCCCAGGAGTTTGAGTCCAGCCTGGGCAACATAGTGAGACCTCATCTCTAAACAAATGAATGAAACCCCAGACACCCAGTGTGCCCTCCAGCTTCTACATGACCCACACCTGCACGCCTTTGCCTGTGCTGGCTTGTCCTGTCAGAAATGCTCTTTCCCCAAGCTTGTCAAAATCCCTCCAAAACATTAAGATCTAACTCCAAGGCCACCTCCTTCTTGGCCCTCCCTGACTGACAAGATGAGGACAATCTCTCTTTCCTCTGACTCATCAACCTTTTGTGCCCCTATGGCCACCATCCACCTTATGCAGCAGCAGAGACTCAGGTTCTCATGGCCTCAGCTGGGGCTCCCTGAGCATCTGGGTCTTCTGAAATGGACTGCTGCACAGATGCTAAGTTCTGCAGTAACTGGGGAGAAGAGTGTTGGAGGCAATTGCACAGAAAGGACCATCCACTGAATGTTCCAGAAGGTAGCAGAGTACAGTAGTTAAGAGCATAAGATCTGCAACCTGATTGCCCAGGTTCAAATACAGCTTCACCTCTCACTAGCTAAGTGACTTGGGACAAATTACTTAACTTCTCTGGCCCTCAGCTGCCTCACTTGAAAAAGGGAGGTAATTACAGTGCCTACTTCATGGTGTTGGTCGGAGGACTGAGTGGCCACACGTAAGCGCCCTGAAGACAGTGGCTGGTGCACGGTCAGTGCTAGGCAAGTGTGTGCTGCCATTATTATCAGCCAAGCCCCAAGAAGGGAATTCCCAGTCCTGACGGAGGGCTGACAGGGGCTGTGCCAGCCCCCAGACTGCAGCCACTTTCGGGTCCGTTTCCCACTTGCTTTCGGAAGATATGCAGGGCAGGCAATCAGCCCCATTCCGCAGATGAGGAACTGAGCTTCCTTCAGATCAAGTGCCAGTGAGGGAATGGTAAAGACGCCAGAGCTCCTCAGCCCTGGGCCATGGCTCCTTTCTCTTCACCAGGCTGTCACTGTGCACCTGTTGTGCAGGCTCCCCCAGGCGGCCACCCCCTCCCAGCCCCCCATGCCGGAGGGCCTGTCCACAGCACCCTCCCTTCCCCTACGTACACACATCCTTCCAGTGGGGCCAGGCACAGTAGACAGTGGTGTGCAGGCTTGGAATGCACTCGCACACACACCCCTAGAAGGGCCCAGGCCCCAAAGGTGAGGAAAACCTGTTCTGAGGAATCTGCCTAGTGAGCGAATTCCGTTCCGAGGCCCGTCCACCGTCGCAGGAGTGGGGCCCAGTGTGCGTCAGAGATACCCACAAGGGGGGCAGAGAGGGAGAGGGTGAAGCAGGAGGAGGCTGAAAACTTCACGTTTCTTTTTTCCATTTTAGTGACAAGAGTCACACCCAGCCTTTACATAAACATGGCCAAGGAGCCGCTCTGTCTAAGCTTACTTCCCTTGTGGCCGCCCAGCCTCTCCTCCGGGTGACCCTGACATGCTGGGCAGGCTGATGAGGGGCAAACACACAGACCCTGCAAAGATTAGCTGGGCCGCCTGACAACACCCATGCCTCCCGCCGGCCGCCATGCGCTACCCTGCATTTATCTCCCGCCTTCCTCATACCAAATCCCCTCCGCAGCCCCACCACCACTTAAGCACACAGACGGCAGGCACGCATACACAGCCTGCTTGCGGCTGGCCTCTTGGGTCTGAGGCCCACACTACCCTTGTCACGCCACCTCCCTCCCCACATGTGTTTTCTTGACCAGCTTGCCTCCCAGCCCAGCAGCCCGGACAGGCTCCTACAAACAACGTCACAAAAGAATCCTGTGGAGAATGTTGCAAACGCAGAACCTTCCCCTTGCTTGGCTGCCCATGATCCCACAAACACAAGTGGCACATTCCACCCCGAACCCCTCACACCAATGCCAGCTGACCCACAGGCCCGAGACACACCCTGGGGTTCCTCACTCCAGATCTTCCGGATCTGAGTTCTAGACGCGCAGCCCCCATGTAACACGCTCATGACAGACACGCAAACCCATCCATCGCCCTCTTTACCACTGGACCACACCTCAGCAGAGCAACAGAAATGGGACCCAGACGTGACGCCTTCTGACTAAAAGGCCCACAACCGCCCCCTCCAAAAGGGCACATACACTGCATCCTGGCACCCTCCGCAACACATACAGCATGCCAGCTCTGCAGAAAACAGTTCATAAACAGGTCATAGGTGCAGCACAAGACGCACATGCGAGAAAACACATGCTGTAGAAAACACACAGCCCCACATCGAACAAACTCTGCACCAGCATGCTGTGCCCTGCTCAGAATGCCCATCTGTCACCCAGAGCCACAGGGCTCGTCTTGTAACTCTGCCCCACAACACTGGACACCCCTTCTGGCTTTCTACCTCCATGGCCCAGGGAGGGCCCTACCCAGACCCCTGGCTGCCAGCAAACAGTGGTGCCCAGGAGAGGTTTACCTTGCCCCACCACACAGCACGAGACACACGATCTCCGAGACACACGATCTCCAAGACTCACAGCCACAACCCTGCCCCGACGGCGCGGTGGTTCCGGGGCCCCAGCTCGCCCTGCGCACCCCGCACACCCCAACTCTGGGGCGCTCGGCGGCCCACCCCTCCCCCTCTCTGCCTGGCTCCTACGCCATCGCCCTCCCAGCAGCTTGCAGCGCTTGCCCGGGCTCACACCCGCCCCACCCCACCCCCAACCTGCCCCACGGGGGGAGGGGGACATTAGGCTGCAGAATTAACCCTTCAAAGGGGGAGTGAGCGCCGCCCCTTCCACGGCCCCAGGCGATCGCGTCCCCCGGCCGCCGCTCGCTCGGACGCCATACCAGGGCCCCCTTAGTCGCCCCCCAGCGTCGTGTGCGCCCGGGGGCGGGGCCAGGCTCAGCCCCCGACCCCTGCGCCCCCAGGTCAACCCCAAAGGAGAGCGGTCTGGGCGCGGGGCGCGGCCGGGGCTCCGCGGCGCCGGGCAGCGGAGAGGGGGCCCGGCAGTTGGCTCCGGTCCGCCCTGGCCCTGCCCAGTTCGCCCCGGGGCCCACCTGACTGTGATGGCGCCGCGTCCGCCAGGCCCGGCTCATCACCGTGGCCGCCCCCGGCCGCTCCGGTTTCGCCCGCCTCCAGCTCCGGCTCCGGCTCCGGCTCCGGCCCCGGCCCCCCCAGCGCCTGGCCCCGGCCCGGCCCCGCTGCCGCCGCCGCCGCCGCCGCTGACATCATCGGCTCCCCCCGCCCCGGTCCTACCCCCACCCCCACCCCCGGAAACAGTCCCCCCCCAGCGCCGCCGCCGTCGCCGCCGAGAGGAGGCCGGCGCAGCGCAGCCGACACCGACACAAAGCTCCGAGCGCCCGACGGCCTTCCCCGGGACTGATCCCCGCGGCAGGACACCGCGCCGCGCTGGGCCACCGGGCGGGTGGACACCGAGCCGGGCGCGGGCCGGATTGCAGCACCCCGGCAGGGGCGCAAGACCACCGACCCCCAGGGAAAGGGCTCCCTCCGCCCTTCCCCCTGCACGCCCTTCACTCAGCGGTGCACACTGCCTGAAAGCATTTAACACACAGGCTCTCAGGGTGCAGACATGACATGGCAGACTCATAATTAGGCCCAGTGGGACCCACAGACTCAGGGTCAGCACACTCAAAGAGGGCCAGCCCTGGACACACACACACACACCCTCTCCAGGAATGCGCAGGAACGCTCAGCAGGCCGCGGAAAAGGAAGGCCCTGGCCATGCACACGGGGCACACATTAACGACCACCAGCGCAAATGAACACACGAAGCTGGCTGGGTACTTTGTCCCCACCAGCAGATAGATCCACATCTGTATCCTTGAACATAAATGCAGAAGCCTTGTTGTTGGCCTCTGGGGACAGCATCAACAAAACACCAGGTGGAAGCACACACAGAAAAAAACACATTCCTGAAACTCCACAGGGACAATCCCAAGAACTCCTCCCTGGTGCTGGAAAATTAAAAACTAAGGAGATAGAGGAGCCAGGCTTCAGAGCTCCTTGCCTTAAAACCTCTCTGAGGCCGGGCGTGGTGGCTCACGCCTGTAATCCCAGCACTTTGGGAGGCTGAGGCGGACGGATCATGAGGTCAGGAAATCGAGACCATCCTGGCTAACACCGTGAAACCCGTCTCTACTAAAAATACAAAAAAATTAGCCGGGTGTGGTGGCGGGCGCCTGTAATCCCAGCTACTTGGGAGGCTGAGGCAGGAGAATGGCGTGAACCCGGGAGGTGGAGCTTGCAGTGAGCCGAGATGGCTAGATGGTGCCACTGGTGCCACTGCACTCCAGCCTGGGCTGGGCAGGGTGGGTCATGCCTGTAATCCCATCACTTCGGGAGGCTGAGGTGGGGTGGATCACTTGACGTCAGGAGTTCCTGAACAGCTTGACCAACATGGTGAAACCCCATCTCTACCAAAAAAAAACAAACAACAAAAAATATAATTAGCCGGGTGCAGTGGCTCAGGCCTGTAATCCCAGCACTTTGGGAGGCCGAGGTGGGCGGATCACCTGAGGTCAGGAGTTCAAGACCAGCCTGGCCAACATGGAGAAACACCATCTCTACTAAAAATAAAAAATTAGCTGGGTGTGGTGGTGCATGCCTGTAATCCCAGCTACTTAGGAGGATGAGGTAGAATTGCTTGAACCTGGGAGGCGGAGGTTGCAGTGAGCCGAGATCGCACCACTGCACCCCAGCCTGGGCAACAAGAGCGAAACTCCATGTCAAAAAAAAAAAAAAAAGAAAAATTAGCCAGCTGTGGTGGCGCACGCTTGTAATCCCAGCTACTTGGGAGGCTGAGGCAGGAGAATCGCTTGAATCTGAGAGGTGGAGGTTGCAGTGAGATGAGATCACACCATTGCACTCCAGCCTGGACAACAAGAGTGGAAACTTCATTTCAAACAAAAAAAGAAAGAAAAGAAGCAGAGTTAGACTCAGTGGGAAAATAGGCACACTACCACCTCAGGAGGGTTCCAGGGAAGAACCCCACCCCCACTCCAACCAGGTCACAATGGCTGGAGCTCTGAGGGGCCCAGGCTCCCTGAGCCAGGAGGAGAGAGGAGAAAGTCCAAGGAAAGATGGTGAGTGTGGGGGCCAGGGGCCCAATACTCCCTCCCTATAGCTCCTGGTTGCTCCATTTCCCCTCCTTTCCTAAAAATTAGCTGTCTCAGAGATACCCACAAATAGAATTGATAATGGTGTACCCAGGTGTCTCTGGAACTTGTGGCATCACACAGATGCATAGCATCTGAGGCTTCCTCCCCTTCCTCAATCCAAGAGGGCATCCTGGTTCCTTTTTCTCCTCCCAGGAACAACTTACCTAGGAAATGATACTCCAGGACTGCTCACTCCTTGCTTCCTGCTGCAGACCCACATTATACCATCTCACTCATCTCTTAGGCCCTTTCTAGCTCCCAAGAGTTCCTCCCAGACCCCATCCTCGCATCTGCCCTGCCCCAGGTCACCCGGGCTGTGGCTACTGTCTACCCTGAGCTCCTTTCTCCCTAACAGGCTGGCAGTCACCCCTACTTCAACCTGCCCGACTTCACGCAGCCATCGCCGCCCTCCACTCCACCCAGCCTCCCCTCGCACCAGCGCTGCCAGCCCTCTGATGCCACCAAGGGTCTGCTGGTGGCCCTGTTGGGTGGGGGCCTGCCTGCTGGCTTCGTGGGCCCCCTTTCTCGTATGGCTTACCAGGCTTCCAACCTGCCCTCGCTGGAGCTGCTCGTCTGTCGGTGTCTCTTTCACCTCCCTATTGCCCTGCTACTTAAACTGCGTGGCGACCCACTTCTGGGACCTCCTGACATCCGAGGCCGGGCCTGCCTCCATGCCCTGCTCAACGTCCTCAGCATTGGATGTGCCTACAGTGCGGTTCAGGTGGTGCCCGCTGGCAACGCTGCCACTGTTCGCAAAGGTTCTTCCACCGTCTGCTCCGCCCTCCTCGCCCTCTGCCTTGAGAGCCAGGGTCTCAGTGGCTACGACTGGTGTGGACTGTTGGGCAGCATCCTAGGACTAATCATCATTGTGGGACCTGGACTAGGGACACTGCAGGAGGGGACCACGGGTCTCTACACCGCCCTGGGTTATGTGCTGGCTTTCCTGGGAGGCCTGACGCTGTCCCTGGGGCTTCTGGTCTATCGTTCTCTGCACTTTCCCTCCTGCCTCCCAACAGTGGCCTTCCTATTTGGCTTGGTGGGGCTGCTGGGCTCTGTGCCAGGCCTCTTTGTGCTGCAGACCCCCGTGCTGCCCAGTGACCTTCTGAGCTGGAGTTGTGTGGGGGCAGTGGGGATCCTCGCCTTGGTCTCCTTCACATGTGTGAGCTATGCGGTCACCAAGGCCCACCCTGCCCTGGTGTGCGCTGTCCTGCATTCTGAGGTGGTGGTGGCCCTTATACTGCAGTATTATATGCTCTATGAGACCGTGGCACCTTCTGACATCATGGGGGCAGGGGTTGTGCTGGGCAGCATTGCCATCATCACAGCCCGGAACCTCAGCTGTGAGAGGGAAGGGAAGGTGGAGGAGTGAGATAGAACTTGGGAGCCCGGGGGTTGGGAGGGGCAGGGGTAAATAGAGGCAAAGACTGAAGACGAACATGGGAGGACAAGTGACTGGAAAAGAACTGGTGTGGGAGAGGGTACCTCTCAGAGTCAAGGGTGACTTGGGGACTTGGTGGAGAGTGACTACCTGGAAGACCTGGAGCCAGCCTGGGACCAAGGGATGTGGAGTCCAGGCTGGGTCCTGGGAATCAGGGCATAACTAAGGGGTAAAGTCTGAGGAGCAGATCCACGGCAGGCAGGCCGTGGGCCACGGGGAGGACTTCACTCAGCAGCAAAGAGAAGAGCATTGGGGCTGGAGTGTTCCGGCAAAGACAGAGCCAGCAGCTGCGCTGGGGGAGGGGAGCGTGCCTCCCCACCCCTCCCCTCACGGCGAAGGTTTCCTTTTCTCGTGCTTGTGCCCCCCCCTTGGGGTGGTGACGTGACATTGACATCAAACAAGGATTACTCTGAATGTGGCTGTGCAGTGGTGTCGTCTCTGCTTTGGAGGGAGAGTGGAAGTCCTACGACCGTTCTCATTGGAGAATCCCTTGGGATCCCCGCCCTCCATTTTATTCCTGAAATATTCTACAGTGTGAAGGATTTCCTAATGTTCAGATGCCTTGACCCCAAATCCCTCAGGACTTTCGTGGCCCGCCCCATGGCTAATCTGCTTTTCTCGGATTGTCACGGTCCCGTGATCTCTCCCGGACAGTGGCCAGGCTCCTTCCAGAGCAGGCCTCCGAGCTGAAGTCTCTTCGAGCGGCTCAGGCCATGGATCTAGGACCATGGTTCGGTACGGCGCGGCACTAGAGGCCAGGAGATGCCCACCCGTCTCTGGGGGCCGTTTGACCAACATCGGCTACTTCCGGACAAGCCACTGGTCCCGCCATCTTGGCTTGTTCATGCATATTCAGCAAGAGAACTGCATATTCATGAGCAACCGCCCTCCCCCGGGAGCCCACTCGGGAGGACCCGCCCCACCCCGCCTTCATTACCGATTCGCAGAGCAGACCATTTTCCAGCTGGGGGGGGGTGCTACGAATGAGAGGCTTTTGCTGAAGATGAAACCGTTGTCCAAACTAGAATGAAAGCGGCCCAATTTTACCCTCGAGTCTTCAAACCTTAAATCTCAGTGCAGAAGGGAGCAGCGAGGAGAGGCGGTGGGATTAAAGAAAAAAATTCCTCTCTCCCAGTCACTTCAAAATGTCGCCCAATCAGCGAGCGGGGGGAGGACCTACGACTCTGGCTCGCACCCCGTGCGGGCCTGCGCAGGCGGCCCCGTAGCGCAAGGGAGGGCGGGAAAGGAAGGGGCGGGGACGCGAGGGCGAATCTATAAGAGGCGTCGTTCGGCGAGTTCGCTGCTCAGAAGCGCCGAGAGCGCGGCCGGGACGGTTGGAGAAGAAGGCGGCTCCCGGAAGGGGGAGAGACAAACTGCCGTAACCTCTGCCGTTCAGGAGCCCGGTTACTTATTTATTCGTTACCCTTTTTCTTCTTCCTCCCCCAAAAACCTTTTCCTTTTCCCCTTCTTTTTTTTTCCTTTTTGGGAGCTGAACAATTTCCGGTAAGGGAAAGAAGGGCTCCTTTCGCTCCTTATTTCCCCGCCTCCTTCCCTCCCCCACCTTCCCCTCCTCCGGCTTTTTCCTCCCAACTCGGGGAGGTCCTTCCCGGTGGCCGCCCTGACGAGGTCTGAGCACCTAGGCGGAGGCGGCGCAGGCTTTTTGTAGTGAGGTTTGCGCCTGCGCAGCGCGCCTGCCTCCGCCATGCACGGGGGTGGCCCCCCTTCGGGGGACAGCGCATGCCCGCTGCGCACCATCAAGAGAGTCCAGTTCGGAGTCTTGAGTCCGGATGAGCTGGTAAGAGGCTCTGCCCTCCCCTTCCTCCCTCCTTCCCTGGCGGGCGGGGCCGGACGGGGGCTGCGGAAACTTGGCGCTTTCTCGCTGCCTGTGGGTGACGGGCCAGGAGCATGGCTCAGCAGCGCCAAGGCTGTGCAGGCGCCAGTCTCGGGCCTCCCAGAGTTGTATTTTGCAAAGAATTGAGCAAACTTAGCGCTTTGTCCGAGACGGGGCTGGCTGGAGGGTAAGAAGGAGAGAGAGAAGGGTGACTGATTTCCCACTCCAGAGTTACCGACGTTAAAGGCGATCAGACGAATCCTAGGGAGTGTTTACAAGTTTGGTTAAGAAGCCAAACCCCAGGTAGCTTCCTCCTTTTCTGTAATACAAATATTAATTGAGTGCCTGCTGTATTGTAGACAGAAGAGACTCTGGGGTTACAGAGGTGAACACGACAGACCAGGACCTTAAAGAGCACACTGTCTGTGGGAAAGGGCAGGCGGTAAACACGAATACAATAAATGAACAAGATAATTCAGTTAATGGCAATTGTCTCGAGTAGAGTGAAACGGGGTAATGCCACGGAGAGTCACTGAGCTGGGGCTACTTTATTTTTTTGTTTTTATCTTATTTTATTTTTTTGAGACTGGGTCTTGCTCTGTCGCCCAGGCTGGAGTGCAATGGCAGGATCTCGGCTCACTGCAACCTCCGCCTCCCGGGTTCAAGCGGTTCTCCTGCCTCAGCCTCCTGACTAGCTGGGATTACAGGCATGCGCCACCATGCCCCGTTAATTGTTGTATTTTTAGTAGAGGAGGGGTTTCGCCATGTTGGCCAGGCTGGTCTCGAACGCCTGCCCTCAGGTGATCCCCCCCCCTTTTTTTTTGGTTTTTGGTTTTTTGTCTTTTTGAGACGGAGTTTCGCTCTTGTTTCCCAGGCCGGAGTGCGGTGGCTGAACTCCTGACTTCAGGTGAACCACCCACCTCGGCCTCTCAAAGTGCTGGGATTACAGGCGTGAGCCACCGCGCCCAGCCGAGGTGGGGCTACTTTAGATGGGATGGTGTTAGGGTCTGAGAAGGCCTGTCTGAGAAGACTTTACTCGAATGATGAGAGGCAGCCAGTCATGGAAGCCGTAGTTTCTATGGCGAGAGCTTTTCCGGCAGAGGAAATAGCAAGTGCAAAGGGCCTGAGGGAGAAATGAACTTGGGCTTGTCCTAGAGGGTGAAAGGCGGCCGGTGTGGCTGAGGTTTAGTGCATGAGAGAAGAAGAGTGTTACAGAAATTGGCTGGAGAAGCATGGGATGTTGTATATTATGTTAAGGAGTCAGGACTTAATTCTATTTTCAGTAGGTAGTCCTTGGACAGTTATAAACAGGAGAGTGACAGCAAACTCGCATTGGAAAAAATACTGCTGTAGTTGCTCTATGAAGAACTGATGCGGGAGGAGGAGAGACCAGAGAGAGGAGGGCAGTCCTAGGGGAGAGCTATTGGTGACTTGAACTTCTTCCCTTGTGGAGCTAAGTAGAGGGAGCCCACTGGCTGGAAAGAATGGAGTTAAGTGGCTGTTTGTGGATAGAGACCATTTTGCTGGAAGAAAATTCAGCTATGTGAGGAGTCAGAACGTCCTGACCTCACACCATACCACAGAATCAGTTCCAGATGAAGTTAAGACTTAAATCTAAAAAAACCCATAAAATACTAGAAAAAAATAGAAGGCTTTTGCAGGGCTCATACCAGAGACAGAAGTCCTTAATAGTAGTTAATTATAGGTAAGTTTTATGGAATGCCTAAAATGAGCTAAACGTTATATATAAGGAAGACCAAGGCAGATTTCACTACGTAAAAATAAGAGCCACTTCTGTTTACAGAGGCACTGTGGCAAAGCTGAAAAACAGATCAGGAAACAATACTTGCAGTTATGCAGACAAGGTTAAATTTATCGATGTACAAGGAACACTTACAAATCAGTAAAGAAAGTACCTATCTACTAGAAAAATGGGTAAAGGAGATGAATAGGCAGTTCACAGAAGTAGTGCAAATGGCCAACAAAGAGTTGGCTTTCTAATTAAAAAGATCCAGATTAAAATAAAATTATTTCTCTTATCCAACTTTTTTTCCCTGCTGCAAAAATATTGGGAAATAGACATGCTTATACATTTTTGGTAGAAAGATAGATTGGTAAAACCTTTTTGGAGGATGGTCTGACAGTTTTTTTTTGTTTTTTTGTTTTTTTTTTTGAGACGGAATCTCACTCTTGTCACCCAGGCTGGAGTGCAGTGGCACAATCTTGGCTCACTGCAACCTCCACCTCCCGGGTTCAAGAGAGCCTCCTGCCTCAACCTCCCGATTAGCTGGGATTACAGGTGTGTGCCACAACGTCTGTCTATTTTTTGTATTTTGTATTTTTGTATTTAGTATTTTGTATTTTGTATTTAGTATTTTTGTATTTAGTAGCTATCTGGGGTTTGGCTTCTTAACCAAACTTGTAAAGACTCCCTAGGATTCGTCTGATTGCCTTTAACATCGGTAACTCTGGAGTGGGAAATCATGTTACCCAGGCTGGTCTTGAACTCCTGACCTCAGGGGACCCGTCCACTTTGGCCTCCCAAAGTGCTGGGATTACAGGCATGAGCCGCCATGCCTGGCCTTTGGTCTGACAATTTTATCAACTTTTAATATGTGAATCATTTGATCAAGCATTACCACTTAAAAAAATTCATCCTTAGGTTAAAAAAGCTTAATTCTCCCTTTCCCAGTTTTGCATGGTTTAGTAAATGTTTCTCCATCCATTTGCTCAGGCCAAAAACCTAAAAGCCATCTTTGATTCTCTTTCTCACGATCTCCACTTAGTCCATCTGCCAGAGTGTCAGTTCTACTTTTGAAAATATGCCTGGTTGGCCGGGCGCGGTGGCTCAAGCCTGTAATCCCAGCACTTTGGGAGGCCGAGACGGGTGGATCACGAGGTCAGGAGATCGAGACCATCCTGGCTAACACAGTGAAACTCCGTCTCTACTAAAAAATACAAAAAACTAGCCGGGCGAGGTGGCGGGCGCCTGTAGTCCCAGCTGCTCGGGAGGCTGAGGCAGGAGAATGGCGTAAACCCGGGAGGCGGAGCTTGCAGTGAGCTGAGATCTGGCCACCGCACACCAGCCTGGGTGACAGAGCGAGACTCCGTCTCAAAAAAAAAAAAAAAAAAAAAAAAAAGAAAATATGCCTGGAATCCAGCCATTTATGACCATCACCATCACCGTGTCCCACCATATTCCACCTTACTGTCATCTTTCCTGTGGAGTGCTATAGTAGCCCTAGTTGGTCTTCCTACAGTTTCCAAGAACAGCTAGAGCAGGCTAGAGAGAGCTCTTCATCCCTTCCCTTCCCTGCATGGAATCCTCTCCAGAGGTTTCAGGACTCCTTATTCTGACCTATAAAGTGCTGTTTTATTTGGCTCCTGCTTGCCTCTCCATCTCATTACTAGTCTTTTCTTTGCTTTTCTTGAACCATGCTGACTGCTTGCTCCTCTAACACTGCAAACTTATTCCCACCTCAAGGACTTTATTATTCAGTATTCCTCCTGCTTGGAACAACATTGCTCAGACCGCTTCTCTGCATGCCTGTTCCTTTATAGCTGTTCTCTGTTGAAATTGAATTTATTTATTTATTTTTTTTTTGACACAGGGTCTCCCTCTGTCCCCCAGGCTGCAGTGCAGTGGCTCGATCACAGCTCACTGCAGCCTCTTGGGCTCAATAGATGCTTCCAGGCCAGGTACAGTGGCTCACGTCTGTGATCCCAGCACTTTGGGAGGCCGAGGTGGGCAGATCACAAGGTCAGGAGTTTGAGACCAGCCTGGCCAAAATAGTGAAACTCTGTCTTTACTAAAAATACAAAAATTAGCTGGGTGTGTTGGCACACCCCTGTAATCCCAGCTACTCAGGAGGCTGAGGCAGGAGAATCGCTTTAACCTGAGAGGTGGAGGTTGCAGTGAGCCGAGGCCGTGCCATTGCACTCCAGCCTGGGCGACAGAGTGAGACTTGGTCTCAAAAAAAAAAAAAAGATGCTCCCACCTCAGACCCCCAAGCCCCATCTCAGTAGCTGGGACTATAGGCTTGTACCCCCATGCCTGTCTAATTTTTAAATTTGTTGTAGAGATGGGTTCT